ATTGTTATTCTGACTTATAAATCTCTCTTTTGAATTGAGTTCATTTTCCCTTGCTGGTTAACTTTTAAACCAGCACAAGAATACAGAACTCATTTCAAATAGTGGTGTCTTGGCCAGAAGTGCTTATTAGCAACTGTAAAATGATAATATTATATTTGGTATTTTGGTAGTAGAAATATTGTAGAAATACTATAGGGACTTCTACTGTTTGATATGTGTCATTTATTTTTGTACCTTACCTTTACTAGCAATAATGAGTCCTTTAGGAACAGTGACGTTTCAGAAGGGTTGAGTGATAACCTTGAACATAAAGTGAACTGTAAAGGAGATACCAGTTTACATATATCTATCAGTTAAAGAGTAGAGTCATTCACCTTTCCTGGATAGCACTGAAAATGTATGAAAAGTCAAAAAAATGGAAATACACAGGCCAAGAATCACTGGCTTTTAGAACACTCCCAGGAAGGAGATTTTCTCCTAAAAGGCATTATTTTAGTATTCTCATATCGGTTACAGTTATTTAAAATAACGTGTTTGTGTCAGTTTTGCACTGAAGATAGATTTTCTTTAACTGTCTACAGGCAAAACTGTTAAAACAAATCAATTCTTATCCTTTTTTTCCCACAACTTGATTTTTGTGAAGCATCGTGTTTATGCAATTCATTCAGGTCATGTGTTTTCCAACTGCATATTTTTCCCTGCTTTGTAGCTTTGGAGTTGTTTTGTTGTTGTTTTTTCAAATATCTATAAAGCAGTAGCTAATTCTACTTTCTCTAGCACACATAGACTCATTTAGCAAAATGAAAGGAAAGATTTAATGAACAATCTAGAAAACACTGACGCATCTTTTGAAAATTAATTCTGGTTTGTAAGTTATGTTTAGATCTTTGAATCTTCTCTACCGTAAAAAGAAACAAGGAAAAAGCTCTGAATATGTAATTACTATTACTATTATAATGACTTAGCCTTAGAATGTCAAAAAGCTTTCCAAGCATTAACTAATGGAAAGAATCAAATGATGTTGCATTCTAGCTGCAATGTTATTAGGTGATGATTTTTTTTCTTTTCAGTAACTTAATGGATTTTATAAATTATCTAATTAGACCTGTAATATGCAATTCAAAACCACTTTATTTCCATACAGATATACAGTTCTTATCATAATCATGCATAAAAATAAATATTCCAGAGACACAATATTATTGTGCTGTATAAATTCCTACAGTTTAATGTTCTTTTTATTCTAGGAATTATGAGAAGAATGTAGTGTCCTTTAAATAATTTTTTTAGAAGTATTTTGTTTTACGGAATGTGTAGTTTTCATGGTGTCAATATTCCTTAGTTGTTCTTTTTTTGTTTTGTTTTGCAGGTTGGCTTCATGAGCTAGGAAAGCGTATCGAGTCTCCTTACTATGAGAATAATACACTAGGAGGCCCATCAATCAGAAGTGCCTATATAGCTGCCCTGTATTTCACTCTTAGCAGCCTCACCAGTGTTGGGTTTGGAAATGTTTCAGCCAATACCGATGCTGAAAAGATCTTCTCCATTTGCACAATGCTGATTGGGGGTAGGTACATATGCTAAATGCCATGTAAAATGTTTTTTGGGGGTAGAAACAGGTAAAATAGCTGAGATTTTGCCAAATTTCTTTTATAAAAAAACACAGCAGAAAGTTTAACAAGTTTAGTTTAAAAGAGCAAAGCAAGGAAATAACTTTGTTTGGTTTACACTATATAAGCTCTCTTAGGAAGATATATTTATATATCAGTTCAGTTATGGTGACAAAAGACGGTGTCACACAGTAAAATGCAAACTCACATTATTGACAGTGAGAATGGCCCAGGCGTGTGTTGCGGATTTTGGTCACGTGGCAGGCACTTTTCTGGTCAGCTGGGTATTATGTGCATGTCAGCTCCAGTTCGGTCCCCACAGCAGTCCTGAGAACGGCGATGAGGGAAGGTGGGCAGCTCACAGGGCAATGCGTCTGTGAGCTGGTGTGTATCCACATCTGAACAACCAGAACAGAGAGAAGGCTGGGGAGGCAGGACAGAGCCAGGAAGACTGGTGAGCATTAGGTGACTCTACCATAAACAAAAAAGCAGTTCAATTGTCATTGGTAATCATTTGATTCAGATTAGAATCAGAGTGCAATGTTTTTCTCATATTGAAGCTCTTAGCGGTATTTTTATTTATGTTAATTATCTAGTTGTACTGCTGAGGAAAGTCATAGGCTCATTCATGGTTCCTTTCTTTCTGCTGAGACACCTGGGTACAATCAGTGAGCTGGTAGCACCTGCAGACCTTTGTAAGCCACGACCACTAGAGAAAGTACCTGCAGATCTCTCTTTCCCCCAAAAATCAGCGGTGCTGTTTTGTAATGTGTACATCATACAGCTCAAAGATGTCACAGAGGGCATGAAGGGTAAAAGCAAATTACCACTGGAGTACTGCCTCCTGCCTCCCTTTTTTTTCTGCTTGCCTAGTTATTCTAGAAATACTAGTAGGTATTTCTCCAGGGCTAGTCAGTAAAGCCCAGGTTGTCAGCTGGTTGTCAGCTTTGCAGAATAAATTTTCATGGTCAAAAATAAATTGGCAATTTGACACTTGAAAGCAAGCGAACAAGATGAATGACCTGTAAACTGTATTTGCAGCATAAAGTGGTATAAAAGTTGTTCAATTAATTATTGTCATTTCCCTAAGTCATGAAAATGAGTGGCAATAATATAATGAATCATCCAAGAATGATATAATTTTGATTTTGACAATGTCACAAAACCACAAGAGCTCATGAATCGCTCTTGCTGGTAGCATAAAATGATAACATTATAGTTTTGAAATACTCTGTGGTCTCTCTGCTTTGGGGCTTTCACTACATAAAATCAATTGGAATGAAGGAAGGAGTTTTCATTTCTGTCAAGAAATCAAGAGATGCCCTGTATAAGGTAATGATGAATATTTAATACTCTTTGATTTGACAGAGCTTTCATAAACTTAATAGAGTCGAACTTAAAGTATCTTATGCATTTATTTAATTATAGCAATTTTATTTTCATTTCTTGTATTATTAAGTAATAGCGATAATATGCCTGTGCTCTGAATAAATTGTGAAGAACTAGTCGACTGAACGTAGTAAGAGGGAACTGATGACTGAAAGACGAAGTTACTCACAGGCAAGCAGGTAAAAGAATAGTTTTATATCTGTGAGGGTCCAGTGAACAAGATACATCCAGGTAAAAGAGCAGAGCAGGTTGATCTCCAAGTATTTTCTTGAGGAACTGTATTTTAGATACTGTTGAGGAAAATCAGTAGGGCAAAGAAACTTGAAGGAGTTAGCATTGTACAGTGCAGATTGGTGAGCATGCCTCAGAAAACTGTTAGGAATGAAGTACTAATCTGAAGGACATAACACCATTTCTTAAAACATGTTTTAGGCTACTGTTTTCGCTGATATTTAATTTTAAAATTCCCTAGTGGAAAGTGATATTTTGAGAAAAATTTATGTAAGTTTTTTAGAGTTTTTGATAAAGTCATTAGTTATGAAATTTCATAATAGATAGGGTGAGTTAGTTAATCAGTAGTCTTTCTGTACTTCTTTAGTGTTTGTCACTGCAAATTGAAAGAATGAAGTGAATTTACTACAAACTTAAAGAAAGGTGAGGAAAGAAAAAAAGCATTAACAAAAAAATAACTTATAGTATGCCTTTTTGATTTTTACTGGCCTCCGGGTATTAATTTCTATTTTGCATGAATTTGAAATTTAAATTTATAACAAGTAATATTTTGAAGATAAAACATCTTGCTATATATGGTATTTCTTCTTAAGTTGGAAAGAAAATTTACTTATTAAAATTTATCTAGAATTCCTAGGATACCCAGTATCTGTAAAATACTAATCAGATCTGTCCTCCAGTAGATGATCATACCATGTTTTGTCCTGTATTCTCCATGTTATTTCAGCAAATAATGTGCAGCTTTGTATTTAAGAGATTGAAGGCCCACTATGGTAGCTTCAGTCCTTTTTGGGATCAGAGGTGTTCCTCTGCTCCCTAAGCAACAAAAATGTAATTTAGAATATCCATTAAAATAAAGGCCACTTTATTTTATGAAATATAGTTCCTAGAATTCTACAGAATGAAGTAATAGATTTCTTACAGAAGGTAGGGTGAGCCTGTGATTATTTGATAAAGAAATCTAATGCCTGTCACAGTCAAGAATAGCTTGTCATCATAAGTAGCAGTTACCTTCGAATGTATATAGGCAATGACAGATTCTACCTTAATAATAAAATTTTAGATTATATTTCTGCCTATAATAACATCACAGAGATGTCTACACTGTCCAGCTCCCAACCTTAGAGCCTTCTGATAGACTTACATCACATGTGATTCTTACATATGCATCCATACACCACCTAATGCTTTATTGCTCCCCCCCTTTTTAACCTGATCATTGCATCCTTAAAGAGGCTACACTATTTCCTTAACCTATTTAAATGTGTTTGGATTAATTGTTCAGCCACAGCTGTCATATTTCTAC